GAAATATGGTACATGTACAACAAAATGTTACACGAATATCCCGATACCAAGGTGGCCATGCATGCTAGCGATCAACATGGAAAGAGAAAACATTACTTCCCATGTGTCACATGACTGTCGCCTTGGAGTCGACCAATGACAGACCAAATACTCGGGCTGGAAAGCGCGATTCTGCCTGCTGAATGGTGATAGCACTAGTTCCACTGTACGTCGTGAAGTGACGACGGGCAGTGGACAGAATCCACTCATGAGTCTACCATTTCAATGATAAGCGTTTGTGGTCTGAAAGTACATGCGAAAGTCAATTAGTGTAGTCCTTGTACGGTTGTTTGTCCAAGTCACTCTCACTCAGCTCACAGCCTCATACAGGACTCGAGTCACAGAATGGTTGATGTATTAAAACTCAAAGATGGTGTGTTATCTCCTAGGCTAGGTACAGGTAGATCCTTGGCTTGAGTGCATACGGGAAACACGTTCCAGTCACTCATACTCGGTCAGTACCGCTCCTCATCCAGCCCTTGCTGCTATCGCGGCGCGGGCTGGATTCCGCGGTACTACCCTCGTACTCCAACCTGTACTTCTTCTATTCATTTCATAATTGACTTCTTTCGTAAACAGATTTTTTCATTGCACAATTTGTTTGAATTGCCTTTGAAAATGATCATGTTCAACTGTCTTCGTAATCGTCACACTCGTCCAACCGATGTCACCCTAACGCTGCGAATAACCAGCTCATCTCTCCCGCAGCTCCAGCTCCCCTTCCATCATGACCAAACATCAACTGAACCCCATTTTTTTTTCAAATAGTAGAGCAATATCCATAGCCTGCACAGTCAGGTCCTGGCTGCTAAAATCCGACTTTATCACATGCATAATGTACAATCGTGTACGCGGAGTTTTGCGGACTACCCGTCACTATCTCGTCCGCCCCAGGATAGCTGATAAAGGCTGATTCACTCGCATCTTCTGCTAGTCCATGTACTGTATCAGTGTAAGAAATAACTTTGAAGAAGACGAGTTCGAGCATACAATAATGTACTGCCATGATTTCTACCCTGCTTTCCATTGAAAACACTATCTGCATGACCTCTGAACCCTTTGCCATGCAAACCACCAGCACTGATCAGGTGCATGGACACAATTGTGTAGCCTACATACATGTACTAGAACCGTGGTACTCATGACTGTAGTTATGCTCCTTCCTGCGAAAGGATGCCAAATTATGCTCCAAATGTTCAACCACCCAATTATGGCAATAATTATGCCGGCATAATCCGCAGGTGCCTGCTGTCTGGCTAGGATTTCACCAACCACATCATACTGTTAACTACACATTGATTGAGCGGACGTAGAGACTATTGAACAAAAGGGGTCCCATACCTATCCAAGAATTACTCAATCTGCGGACAGACATGAACAAGAATTATACGTCCGATTTTGTTCAGAATTTTAACTGACCCTGCGCCTTGACGAAGTGCATTGACCTGGTTGTAGAGTAAAAGTTTGGGGTTCTTTAAAGGGGAAGTATACCCTAAAATCAAATTTCACCAGTTGTAGTCTTCGGGGTGCTGAGGCGAATGGTCTCGGTCCGAGGAAGCTGGTACGCTCCCTTCCTACTTGAATCCCAATCGAACTCGCTCACTTCCACCGAAACTGGGTGACTGCGTCCTACTAGATGGGGATTTGTATGCAAAATGTCACTAAAAGCGCCGTTTCGTTATTATAAAAGCACGGATGACTGCGATTGGCCCATTTGTTGTAGTCTTTTGGACGCTGAGTCGACTGGTTTTGGTCCGAAAAGGCTGCGATGCAGCGTTCCTCCTTTATTCCCAATCGAACATGGTTGATCAAGCGGTCACGTGCTCCTGCGTGCACCAGTCACCTGGTCACCGTGCCTGCAGGGTACGACTTACTAGCCTGTTTGACCTTTTTTGGGTGCAGTCCTGTCACTCGAGTTGAACTCGAGTTGGTGTGAAAGTTGTCGCCTGCTGGCGCGGTGACCAGGTGATTTGGGCACCCAGGAGCACGTGACCGCTTGTTCAACCATGTTCGATTGGGAATAAAGGAGGAACGCTGCATCGCAGCCTTTTCGGACCAAAACCAGTCGACTCAGCGTCCAAAAGACTACAACATATGGGCCAATCGCGCTCATCCGTGCTTTTATAAGAACGAAATGGCGCTTTTAGTGACATTTTGCATACAAATCCCCATCTAGTAGGGCGCAGTCACCCTGTTTCGGTGGAAGTGCGCGAGTTCGTTTGGGATACAAGTAGGAAGGGAGCGTCGCAGCTTCCTTGAACCAAGACCATTCGACTCAGCACCCCGACGACTACAACTGGTGAAAATTTGATTTTAGGGTATACTTCCCCTTTAATGAAATTTCAGAATATTTTTTAAACTACATGTACATATACTAGGTTTTGAGAGTCGGCGGAGTATTCTAACTTTAGGGGAAATTGAAGGGAATGAAAAGAATCGAAAGTCAGGGCAGCGGTTCTGCTTTTCGCATTTCAAAAGGTTTTCTGTCACTCGCCGATAGCCATTTCCCAAATCAGCCAGCCGGAAAATTCGCCGAAACTGTGGTTTTGAAGATATCACCGATCTTTTCGTCGAATAGGCAATTTTGGGGACAGAATTCGCCGAAAATCGATGTTTTTATGCCTCAACAGCATGCAAATGCAATCCCGGTAACCATTACACTGTGAAAATTGACTGCGACTTTAGGCATTACCGAAATCGTTCAGCGGGAAAAGACAACGAAATCCATGGCTGTGAAGAAATCGCCGATAATTGTGCCGATTTTGCAAATTTCGCACTGAATTCGCCGAAAATGGACGTTTTAGTGTCTCTAAAGCATGCAGGTAAATGTACACTGTGTTATGAGCGGTGAATTCAAGTACCGCTTTGAGCCAAATTCCGACTTTGGGGCTCATATTATGGCCGAATTTGGACATTCTCTTAGCCGATCGAAAAGCCGATTATGCGAAAAATCGGACCGATTTGGGAAATGCCTACTCGCCGAAGAAGTCGCAAAAAGACTCTAAGGCTGTTTTCCGTGTACCTTTCCCAAGAGGTTGACATCCCACAGACTTTTAATTGCATCAATAAATATTCAACAATTCACAATGCAGAAAAATCTATTTTCAGCTTCTTAGATTTACGACCGTCCAAATTTGCCTCTTGACGGCCGGGAAACAATTCAAAATTCAAAACGCGTACCTCTACTTTTACCCAGAAATTCGTTTGGCATTTCATGCTGCAGGAGCATGCGAGGGGTGAACATAGTTGAGAATACACACAGCAACAAAGAAGTATAATGTGTCTGCGTGGTTTTCAGCAGCCCAGGACAATGAAACAGACGTCTTGCACACACAACTGAAAAAATCTTTTTCCCCATCCTTACCTGCTTTCTCCGGGTGGCAGCCAAATTTCAGCGCGGTGCTTCAGTTCCTAATTGAAGCTCTTCCTTTAGTGCACTGCCAAGTCTCAAAAAACTAGGACACGTCTTCCAATCACTGCGCCCTGTTGCTCCCTTCGTGAGGAGCCAGAGGCCGAAGAACTACATTTCAGCAACGGGACTGAAGTAGGCTACCTACAAAACTAATAATTTCTATTTTCTTCTACATGTACATGAAAGGTGGCACAGCACAAGATTCGTGATCCTACTTTGGCAGGCGCTGGGGAGAAATGACTAGCTAGACTCGGTTGCTGGCATGGAAAGGGCGGACGGATGTGTGAAGCAAAGGCGTTGAACGCGTGGGGGTTCGACCATGGCGTGAATCACACGGCATGTCACAGACTGCAGGAACAGTCTGTGTTGTTTTCGGTATCTTGCATCAACATTCAGGTGCAAGTGTCTCTGCTGCGATAACCGTTTCTCGCTCGCAGATTCAGCTCGAAACCTCATATGAGGCTCAGTAGTGTTTGACTTCAGGACTGTAACTTTTTGACTGTTGAACAGGATGTAAACATTTTAATGGGCGCTTTCGAGTACACGTTTACAGAATTCTGGAACTGTTTTTTTTTAGCTTGAAGAAGGGCTGAGGCTTCCTGCAGCTTCATCTGTGAAAAGAATTCGGGTGGACACACCCATTCCCATAGCGCTGCACATCACATCCGAACCAGTTCTGTTATTTTTACAACGCTTCGGCACTTGGCCATCGTCAGGTAATAACAATGAATACGTGGAAGCCACACAAGAGCAGTATATACGCAGAGTGTAGCGCCAAAAAAGATGCGAATTATGTCACCTAGTATGCAGAAGTGGGGAGAGGGACAGAGAGAGAGAAAAGGCGCAAGTAGCACATCACGGAGGAGAACCAGCAGAAGGTAGCGCGCATGTTTTTTAAATTCTGGAATGACCAGAATGAGCGGATTCCGGCCTTGTAAACGAAAGACTGGAATTCACAACGCATTTTATTCATGTCATGTCACAAGCAAAATAATGAATCGTAAAAAGAGATCACGTACGCCCTCGCGCTCACGTGGACCCAGCATCGCGCACACGCCGGCCAGGGAGGCTCTTCGCGCGCTTGAGTCATGACGCGAAGGACTACATGTAAAGGGACCGTCACTTAATTTTTGCCGACTACCCGCCAAAAAAATCTTTTCGTTTCACGTGTCAGACACGTCCGCGAGCGCGTGCGACTCGCGAGCGCCCGCGCTACCTTACACGTCAGGCAATCTGTTCACGCCACATGGCTGGATAGCGCGTACATGCAAACATGATTGAAGACTTGCAAAATCAATTTTTTCCAAGTCCAGGCGCTAGGCCTAGGCAGTACTAATGCCTAATGCTACAAAACACGTACACGAAGACTCCGTGGTGGGTACGCGTTTTTGAGCTCCAGTTCTTGAAACCTTTTGGACAGCCCAGCCGGCATTAGGCCGGACTGGAGGTAAGTAGGTAGGTTGTAGCAGTAGTAGTAGTAGTAGTAGTGGCAGCAGTTGCAGTAGTGTAGTTAGGTAGCTAGGTTGTGCACAACGAGAATCTTTGCGCCATGGGTGAGCTCTCAAGCGCGGAGCAGGTGAAGCTACTTTGTAGCATTCCCGGAATACATCACAACGTAGTCAGCTTTGTAGATACTTTGAATGCTTTCGTCAGTGAAGCCAGAAACAACGAAGTGCGCCTCCAGCGGAGAGTAGACGAGCTCGCCGGCCTGGTCTTGGATTTAAGGCAAGAAATGAAGTCATTGAAGGAGTCCGCCATTATGGCAGTCAAGCAACCATTTTCAAAAAGCGAGCTGGGCAAGGAGATCAAGAGTGCAGGTAGTAGTAGTACTACGAGTGAGAGTACCCGTACCAGTAGTCCTGGACAGTCAAAGCCACGCGCAAGTGACAGTGCAAAACTGCCAAACCAGCAGGTAAAACACGTGGGAACCCACACTGAACCCCGTACCCGTAGCGCCGCCACACCCTGGCACGCAACCAAGACAGTGCCCTCTGGGGACACAGAAATGGAGTATTCTGAGTCTGATCAAGAGTACATAACCAAGAGTGTGCAACTGCCTGCACAACCTCTATGCTGTGCTGCGACGGCAGAACTTCACATCACGTGACATGGTTCAAAAGGTTATGCTGGCAAACAGTGCAAAGTGACCACAAGAGAGTTGTACCCAAAGCTGGGCTGCGTACAACCCAGTATATATCATGCACTAGAGTGCACGGGTTCATCACGTGATGTGAAGTTCTGCCGTCGCAGACCCCATAGCTGGAGTTGCACACTCTTGGGTTATATACTCTTGGTCTGATGCAGGGGATACTGGACTCCTGCCTGTCAGTGTCAAGCCCGTTTTCGGTGCTACTGCTGCCAACGCTGGGCCTAACCAGGACACCCTACCGACCGCTGCAGGTAGTGTTGAACCTGAAACTGGCAACACAGAGCGAGAGGAAGTGGATGCCATAAATGACGACAGCTGGCAGCTGGTCGCTGCAGCCCCACCAAGACGCCGGAGAGCAGTAGTGTTTGTTGGCAATCTTAGCAGCACCTGCACAATGGAGGGTCTCACGGAGTTTGTGCACCGCCGGTCTGTAGCAGCCACAGGGAACATCATAGATGTCCACTCATGCAATGTACACACGGCAGCTAGCGGCAAAGTATCCGCCAGGGTCACCAACGATGCAGCTTGCCTGGCCACTGTGACCGCTGCCAACTTCTGGCCTCGGCCTCTCTACTGCAGGACATGGAAATTCAATCCACCCAAGAAGAGCAGCGGCAACGACAAGGCCCACAGCAGCAGTGATGGTGGCAGTGGCGACGGCAACGACAATGCCCACAGCAGCAGTGACGGTGGCAGTGGCGACGACAGCAGCGGAAACGACTGTGGCAGTGGCGGCAGCAGCAGCAGTGACGGTGGCAGTGGCGACGGCAACGACAATGCCCACAGCAGCAGAGACGATGGCAGTGGCGACGACAGCAGCAGAAACGACTGTGGCAGGAGCGGCAGCAGCAGCCGCCGCAATAGCAGCAGCGACAGTTCTCCCAAACCTGGCGCTGAGTTAACTCGGACCCCTGGGCAGAAGTCACGACCCCACCAGCGTGGTTCTCCCGCTGAAGACCAAGCTGCAAAGCGCGTGGCTCCAGTCAGCAAACAGTGATGTCTGCTGCCAGCCATATACCCCTGCTAAACCCCAATGCTACTCCCTTCCAGCCTCGAAGGTCCCGGGGCTCCCAAAGAACAACCAACTGCAACAACCTCAAACTGTTCGTCACGAGCCTCAACATCGGGTTTTTGAATATCTGCAGCCTGCGCTACAAGCTGCATGCACTGGACAGCCTTGCCCACCAGCACAACTGGGACGTCGTTGGCGTTGCTGAGACCTGGCTGGATAGTACAATCTCGGATGGCGAAATTTGTATTCCCGGCTACAGTGTTGTTCGCTGTGACCGGCCCGATCGCCAGGGTGGGGGCACATGCCTCTATTACAAGACATCACTCCCAGTTACCTATCGTTCTGATCTGCACAATAGCCACCTGGAGGCTACCTGGATAGCTATTGGCGGAGGGCAACACCAGCACCTCGTTGGCTGCCTCTATCGCCCACCAAATGCAACTGCTGATTTCTGGGGCCACCTGGACACAGTCCTCCACAATGCTGCCACGATCACGCCATCAATGACACTGGTGGGTGACTTTAATATCAATCTGGCTCAATGCATGACCAGTCGTCCTCACCAGCGCTTCTGGGACCTTATCGGATCGTATGGGCTCCGCAACTATGTTCAGTCTGCCACACGAGTCACACCCCGATGTCCGGATGGAACGCTGCTTGATTTAGTGCTCTCCACCGTGGGTACTATAAGTCACTGTGAAGTTGTACCCTGCACGATCAGCGATCACTTCCTTGTGCATGCAAGTCTGTCTCTACCCTCCTCGCAACACCCACTGCAGCGGAAATCAGTGCGCCTCACCCGCAAGATCCGTGCCATTAACCTTGCAACATTTCGTGAAGATATTGCCTCGTGCAGCCTCCACTCCTTTCCCCCTGCTGCAACTGTAGACGAGATGTGGAATGGCTGGCATGCCAAGTTTATGTCGGTTCTCGAAAGTCACGCTCCCCTGCGTGAAGTCAGAATCTCCACCAGGAGGACTCCCCCGCCATGGTCCGACCGTGATCTATTCCAACTGAACATGCGCAAGAATAGACTTCACCGAAAGTGGCTACAAGATAAGACTAACGTGCATCTACATGAGGAGTACAAGCGAGCCCGTGCAGAAGCCTCAAATGCTTACCGGCGAAAACGCAATCAGCATTTCCAACAGCAGTGTCGTGATCACTCCTCCAACCTGCGGAAGATGTGGTCCGTGATCAACTCTGTCACTAGCCGTTCTCGTCAACATCATCAGCCAACGTGCGACATCACAGAAGTCTCGGATGCCTTCCACAGCATTGTACATGATCCGTCCCGTCCGGCGCAGCTCCAGATTCCCATTGGTCCACAGCCGCAAGGCTCAATGCTGACCTTCCAGTCAACCACCCCAGATGAGGTCAAGCACCTCCTGGAACGGATAAATCCCTGCAAAGCCACAGGCAGTGATGGGATTCCTGGGTGTCTGCTACGTGCTTGCGCTGACCTGTTGGCTCCATCGCTTTCAGTGCTCTTCAGCTCATCGCTGAGGCATGGTGAAGTCCCTCTGGCTTTCAAACATGCTGTAATAAGCCCTCTCTTCAAAGCTGGCGATCCATCGGTAGCTGCAAATTATCGTCCTGTGTCGCTCCTGCCGATCGTATCAACTACTCGAGAAGATAGTCCAGAAGCAACGTGTTGCACATCTGGAGCGATCATGTGCCATACCACCGACTCAGTTTGCCTTCCGCCGTGAGCACTCCACAGAGGACGCCCTAGTTGTAGCAACAGATGCCATCTTAAAGGCCCAGGACGACAAGTTGACCACAGGCGTCTGCCTAATCGACATGTCAAAAGCCTTTGACAAGGTCAATCACAGCCAACTGGTCCGGGACCTATTCGATCTCGGCCTGGACAATGCCTCCCTTCGCTGGTTCTGCAGCTACTTAAGCGATCGAACCCAGCAAGTGCGCATTGGCCCCACCTACAGTGTTGCTGCTAAGTGCTCATCTGGTGTACCACAGGGCTCGGTCCTAGGACCGATCCTGTTTAGCATGTACACCCGTGATGTCCCTGCCATAGCCCATCCTGCTCCATCTCTGCAATTTGCCGATGACATTGCAGTGCACTGCCACAGAAAATCAGTCCTAGCCACATCAGGCTGCCTGTCAGGGGCCGTCACCAACGTCGCTGACTGGCTCAAGCATCGACATCTGCTACTAAATGACAAGAAGAGCCAGGTCCTGTCAATTGTACCACAACGCAATACGGGCCAGCATGTCGCTGTCCGCTGCAACCAGACAGAGCTTCCCCTGAGCCCAACAGCAAGGTACCTCGGCGTGACCCTTGACGCCGCTGTGAAGTGGGACCCCCATGTTGACGCGATGGCGAAGAAAGTTGTGCAGAAGATTGGAGCATTGTGGCGGTCCCGCAGATGTCTGAGCCTCAGTAGTCGCATCCAGTATGTGAGGTCAGTCATCATGCCTGACCTCCTATATGGGTCTAACGCCTTCTCTTCCTCCCTCAAGGTTTCTCAGCTTGATCGCCTTCAGGTCCTGCAGAACCGAGCGGCGAGAGCGGTATACGGTTTGCCGCCTCACACCTCGGCTCAGCCTCTGCTCGAACGGATGTCCCTGTACAGAGTTCGGGAGTGCTACGCCCAGAAGCGGCTCGTCCTGGTGTGGCGCTGTGTCAATGGGAAAGCCAGCAGTGTCCTCCAGGACCTATTCTCACCATCAGCTGGCAGCACCACCCAGCACCAGGTTTCCAGGGGCCTCACTGTCCCCTCGGCACAGTCAGAAGCCGGCAGATCTCGCCTGGCCTTTCAGGCAGCCTTGGCCTGGAACGCTCTCCCAAGGAGTGTAAGGGAGATCAAGGCTGCCCAGCAATTTAAGCTTACCTCCATCCCCTACACCTTGCAATGAATGCTCTGTCTGACTTTTCCCGTCCACACACCACGTCATTTACTCTTCTCTGCGTGCTTGTGCGCTCAAGTTATGAACTCTTTGTGTTCCCTCTGTTGATGCTTCAAAATCGCTCTATTGACACTGCAAAATCGCTCTGTTGACGCTACAAAATTGCTTATCATCTCCCTCCCTCCCTCCCCCCTCTCTCTCTCTTTCTCTCTCTCTCTCCCCGTAGCTCTCTCCCTTTTGAAATTCGCTTCCATAGAATTGGGCACCATTGCCCGTTTGGCCTTGCGAAGCAAAATAAAAATCAACAACAACAACAACAACATGCCCAGGCAGCTGACTTTGTTTTCGGAGAAACACTACTCATTGTAGTAAAAAGTAACAATGAATAGCGATATCATCTAGGAAGGATCGCTACCCTAACGCGAAGGAAAGGCCTTGCGCGGCTGCTCTACGAAGTGTTGAAGAAAGACTCATCAAAGTTAGTTGGTGGACGAACAACTCGCTGGCGTTTCTGCTCTTGGACAGTGCAACGCGGCATGAAGATATGTTGTGGCTCCACAATCGCTGAGAACGCTAGTGTGCGTCCATGGAATACTAAAACACAATAGGCGCGGCGCAGCTAACGCCCACTTGGATGAATCGGAGTGGTGGCGAGTGCATTCTCCTTCCTCGGTGAACACTGCTGGTCACCCTGTTTGATGATCCACCAAACACCATCGGTGCAGGCCGTGTTTTTTCGGAACCAGCCATTTATTCGTCCACCAACAATAGAAATTAATGTTCCTCACTTGAACACTCTGTAGAGCTGTCGCTGTCGTGACAAGGCCGTGTATACTCCAAGTCTACATGTAGGATGAAGAGTAACAGTTACTGCTGATAATGAAGTTTGCGCTCGTGGACAATACAACGCTGTGTGAAGTAAATTGTGGCTCCACAATCGCTCTGAATGCTAATGTGTGTCCATGGAATACTAAAACACAATAGGCGCGGTGCAGCTAACGCCCAACGTGGATGAAACGGACAACAGCAGCGACTAGAGCGTTCTCCTTCCTCGGTGAACACTGCTACAAGACATTATGCTTGATGATTCACCAAACACCATTGTTGGGGGCCAAGTTTTCCGGCGCCAGCGAGTTGTTCGTCCACCAACTAACTTTGATGAGTCTTTCTTCAACACTTCGTAGAGCAGCCGCGCAAGGCCTTTCCTTCGCGTTAGGGTAGCGATCCTTCCTAGATGATATCGCTATTCATTGTTACTTTTTACTACAATGAGTAGTCTCCGAAAATAAAGTCAGCTGCCTGGGCATTAGGCATTAGTACTGCCTAGGCCTAGCGCCTGGACTTGGAAAAAATTGATTTTGCAAGTCTTCAATCATGTTTGCATGTACGCGCTATCCAGCCATGTGGCGTGAACAGATTGCCTGACGTGTAAGGTAGCGCGGGCGCTCGCGAGTCGCACGCGCTCGCGGACGTGTCTGACACGTGAAACGAAAAGATTTTTTTGGCGGGTAGTCGGCAAAAATTAAGTGACGGTCCCTTTAGGCCTTCGCAGTCATGACCACACCGCGGTAACCATGGTACCACACAGACTGTGCAATTCTGGCGCCAGAATTAGAGAAATTCGGCCCTCTCTTCAGAATTGACGGATTCGACGGAATTGGATAAAATCAATTCTAACGACGGAATTTGTCACTTTTTGTGTAATCGAACTGTGCATCAACAATAACTAATTCTAGAATTGACCGAAATGCGTGTAATCGAAAGCGCCCAATGTCTACTCTGCCGCTCCTAGAAAAAAGCAAGGACACGAGTACCGGGGCAGAACTGTCCTCAAGGAGGGGGGAAGAGCGATTATGTTTCCGGAATGATACTATTCAGATGGAGAGCCAAGGTTTAATTTATATAAAAGAGAAAGACCGAGGAACTACAAGTTACGCTATACTGTCAACTAACACCACCAGTTACTAAACAATCAGGTCATGCGATAACATGGCACGACACTGACCGACGGTACTGACGTTCTACAACTAACTGGCTAACCGCTCTAGCACATCTTGGATGCGAACTCCAACTGGCTTCCAACTTGGAAGGTTCTAGGTTATAGAAATAACATA